ACTGTGAGAGGGTCTGATATGGTATGTGCTTAGTTTTAACCAAGTCCCACTTCTGAATCCAAATCTTTCAACAGTGTTTGAACACGAAAACAGTATGAATAGACATGTTATGATCCAGCCTGTAGAAAACTATGGTCCAATACTGTACAGTATTTCCTATTTTATCCAGCTACTCAGTTTCTATCTTCCTCCAAGATACATCCCTAATTTAATCCAGAAAGATTTTACTTAACATGCCAGTCCTCTGAGTCTGTCACCACTTGTTCTTAGAGAACCTGTTTCCTCATGCCTAACCTCATCTTGCCCTATTCCTCCTTTTCTAATGCCATTATTCTTTTGATTTGTAGCAGTCATCTTTTTTCTGTTATTTATAGTTTTATAAAATAAGCATGCATCCCTAAATACTCTAGCTGAGTGTTTGTTACTTCTTTTTATATATGAGATCATGCAGTATGTATTATATTTTGTCTGATTTCTTTTGCTTACATTTGTGAGATTTATTTATGTTGAGTCTAGTTGTCATTTATTCATTTTCATTGCTATATATTATACCATTCTATGGTTGTATTATAATTTATTTATCCACTTTATTAAGGATACAATTTAGATGGTTTTAGTTCTTTGGCTATTACATAACTATGAATATTCCAATACATGTCTTTTGGTGTACAGTACATGCTGGTTGTACAATGTATGTATTCAACTTTCATAGACAAATTTCCAAAATCAAGGTTTATATCCTGGCTATGCTGCTTAAAAGCTATATGACAGGTAAAATACAATTTAGATCTTTTGAAATAATCCTGTCAAGGGGAAAATAAAGAAATAATAGTAAAAAAGAATGAAGAAAGTCTACATGTGTTTTCATGAAAGTATTAAACTCACAAGTAGAGGTAAATTTACAAATCACACTTAGAATACTCCAATGATGTTATGGTGCTATGTAAATCTCTCAATCCTCTAGTATAAATGTTTAAAGTCAAAATAGTCAAAATGACAACAGCTACAATTAGTGGCTAAGGAATACAGAATAGATGAAGTAAATTAGGGCAAGAAAAATATAAATTGGGAGAAAAGCAGAAAAAGTCTAGAGTATTTTTATGCGACCAAAGTTAAGTTGATATTCAGCTAAAAGTAGTCAATACAACTATGGGACTCTTTATATTTGCTGCATGGTGAATTACAAAGAAAGAAATTACAGCAGACACACAGATAAGAAAAAGGGAACAAAGTTAAACACCACAGAAAACCACCAACAGAGAGGAAGCAACAAAAAATTAAGAAAGAAACAAAGAATCTACATAACAGCCAAAGCAATTAATAAAATGGCAAGAGTTAGTCCTTACCTATCAACAGTAACCTTGAATGTAAATAAGTTAATTTTTTAAATTGAAAGATACATAGTGGCTAAATGAATAAAACTACAAGATCCAATGATGTGCTACCTATAAGAGACTCATTTCATGGTAAAGTCAAATATAGACTGAAATTGAAGGGATGGAAAAAGATATTCCAAGCAAACCAAAACCTAAAGCAAACAGGAGTAGCCATGCTTATATATGATAGACTTGAAGCTAAAAGAAAAAAAAAAGTAAAAAGGTCATTATATAATGATAAAAAGATCAATTCAACAAGAGTAAACAATAATTATAAATACATATGCACCCAATCCTAGAGCACCCATATATATAAAGCAAATATTGTTAGACCTAAAGAGAGATGGACTGCAATACAATAATACTAGGGAACATCAACATCTCACTTTCAGCAATGGACACATTATTTAGAAAAAAAAATCAACTCAGAAACATCAGACTTAAAGTGCACCATAGACCAAATGGGTCTAACTGATCTTTACAGAATATTCCATACAACATCTACAGAATACACATTTTCAACTGCACGTGGAACATTCTCCAGGATAGATCAGATGTTAGGTCACAGAACAAGTCTTGAAAAATTTAGGAAGGTAGAGATCATATCAAATAGCTTTTCTGATCACAATAATGTGAAACTTGAAATTAACAACAAGAAAAACTCTGGAAACTTTACAGATACATGAAAGTTAAACGACATGTCCCTAAACAACCAATTGGTCAAAAAGAAATCAAAAGGAAAACTAAAAGATTTTTTGAGATAAATGAGAAGGACAACACATTATACCCAAACCTATAGGACACAACAAAACGAGTTCTAATTGGGAAGCTTATAGTAATAAACACCTACATAAAAAAGAAGAGAAATTTCTAATAATCACCCCAAGGAACTAGACAAACAAGAACTAACTAAACCTAAAATTGGTATAAGGAAGAAAATAATAAAGTTCAGAGCAGAAATAAATGAAAAAGATATGAAAAAATTTAAAAAGAGGCTGGGCACAGTGGCTCACGGCTGTGATCCCAGCACTTTGGGAGGCTGAGTCAGGCAGATCACGAGGTCAGGAGATCGAGACCATTCTAGCTAACGTGGTGGAACCCTGTCTCTACTAAAAATACAAAAAATTAGCTGAGTGTGGTGGTGGGCACCTGTAGTCCCAGCTACTAGGGAGGCTGAGGCAGGAGAATGGTGTGAACCCAGGAGGCAGAGCTTGTGGTGAGCCGAGATCGCACCACTACACTCTAGCCTGGGTGACAGAGTGAGACTCTGTCTCAAAAAAAAAAAAAAAGCCATAAAATGAAGTTGGGTTTTTGAAAATATAAACAAAAATGACAAACATTTAGCTAGACTAAGAAAAAAAAGAGAGAATACTGAAATAAATAAAACAGAGATTTTTTTATCTTAAGGAGACATTACTACTAATACCACAGAAATAGAAAGTATTATAAGACACTATTATAAACAACTATATGCCAACAAATTTGATAAGATAGAAGAAATGGATAAATTCCTGGACGCATACAACCTACCAAGATCAAGTTATGAAGAAACAGAACATCTGAACAGACCAATTAAAAGTTGAATTGAAGAGAAAATTGAATCAGTAATCAGAAGTTTTCCATCAAATAAAAGCCTAGGACCTTATGTCTTCTTTGCTGAATTCTACCAAACATTTCATAAAGAACTAATACCAATTCCTCTCAAACTGTTCCAGAAAAATTGAAGAGGAGGGAATACTTACAAACTCATTTTGCAAGGCTAGCATTACTTTGATTCTAAAACTAGACAAGTACACAATGAAAAAAGAAAACTATAAGCTGATATCCCTGATGAGCATTGATGCAAAGATTCTTAACAAGATACCAGCAAACCAAATCCAAGAGCACATTAAAAAGATTATTCATTATGATGAAGTGGAATTCAGCCCAGGGATCCACGGATGGTTTATCAGACTCAGGTTAATAAATGTGACCACACTACATTAACAGAAAGAAAGAAAGAGAAACATGATACAATCATTTCAATAGGTGCAGAAAAAGAATGTGACAAAATTTCACATTCCTTCATGACAAAAACTCTCAACAAATTAGTATAGAAGATATGCACCTCAAGACAATAAAGGCCATATATAAAAAACTCATAGCTAACATCATACTGAATGGGGAAAGTCTTCATATACAAATGGACCAATGGAACGGAAGAGAGAGTCTGGAAATAAACGTACTCACCAAAAGCCAACTGGTTTTTGGCACAGATGAGAACACATATTGGAGAAAAGACAGTGTTCAATAAATGGTGCTGGGAAAATTGGATATTCGCATACAGAAGAATGAGACTAGATCCCTACCTCTCACTATACACAAAATCAACTCAAAATGGATTAGAGACTTATGTATGAAACCCCAAACTACAAAACTACTAGAAGAAAACATAGGGGAAATGCCCCATAACATTGGCCTATTGAGTTAAATCGACATGAGTTGGCAATTCATGTAATTAAGGACAGATGGTGATATGAAACCATCTCAACCTACCTAAGGTTTCAGAACAAAAGGTGAAATCCTGTATTTCACTGAAAATTAATTTTATATATCACTTTGGGTAATACTTCTTAAGTAACTTGTTTCTGAATTAAACTTAGGATATGTGAGGGTTTTTCTCATTCGGGGGTAAGAATGACTTTATAGAAATCTTGCTTTGAAGACGTCTCTGATTAATGAATGACTGGAACCAAGAAACATAACAGTGATACTACTTATTGTTGGTGGTTGTTGGTAAAAACCATACTTAAAAAATTCTAAATGACCCAATGGATTTTTGTTTTTGTTAATAGTTGCTTTAAGAAACTCATATAGATGGATGGATAGAAAGATATATGATTAATAGATAGAGACATCTCCAACTCTTTTCCTCTGTCATCATTTTCTTGCTTCTCTTAAGCTTGCTCTTTCTTCTATAACTCTTCTGCCATTTCCTTTTCAGATAATTTCCTTGGCTCGCTTGGCCAATTGCTATAGTCTTCTTAATCAATCTCCCTGTCTCTTCTCTCTGCCTCTTTCAATCTACCTTGTATAAATCTGCCGTAATAGTCTTTCAAAAACAGAGTAATCATGTTACTTAAACAAAGTGTATATATATTTCCTAGTTTCAAGCTCCCAATTTTGGTATTGAAAACCTGATCAAACCCAGTTCTAACCTCCTTCTCTATCTTTAACTATCATCTCCTATCAGGAATTCCTTATCTTCTAAACAAACTGAAGTACTAATTACTATTTTCAAGAAATAACCTTTACCTTCTCACTGCTGTGCCTTTACTCAATTTTTACTATTGCCATAAAATATCCCACATTTAACACTCCAAATTTCACAGCAATATCTACTACCTCTGTACAGTCCACCCCAGGTCTCTGGAATTTACTGGTCTCCTGAATATGTTCCTGTCAGAAAATACAAGCTATCTTTTATTACAAACATTTAATGCCTTCTCTTCTACATTTGATTATAATCTCCTTGAAAACAGTTCCCATTTTATTCTTCGTAGTACTTTATGACAGGTAAGAATTCAATGACTGTTTATTAAGTTGAGTTCTTTCAGCAGAAAAACACTGAAGAGGCACCAGATCATGCACTCCCAGAAAGCTCCACTTGCGCTCCTTGAGGGCTCCACCTTGGATAGAAAAGGAGAAATGGCAGCTTTGCTCTTCTCTAGGCTGTGGAAAGTCTCCAATTCAACTCTGTTCCAAATGATGCTGGTCACTGTTTTGTTGGCTACCGTTCTTGGTAAGTAGTGGAGAGACAGGCCAGACAACCAGTCTACAACTGAGTTCATCACACACCCTATTTTAAGAGGTGTCTAAGAGATCTTTCACATTATGGGATATATTTGACCACCTGGAATTTGGGAAGCATACCATAAACTAAAAAGAAAATCTTGTTTTATAGATGCTCCTGATGCTCCCTTTTAGAATTTTTCTCTCCAGGAAACTCTGAACAACTTAACATTGAAGCAATCATGACTTGTAATAAATTCGTATCATCTGCCAGGCTAGCCATGAACTCTCACTGCCTGTGTGGTTATTTAGAATGTAGGGGAGGTCGGTATAATTCTTCTGGGGCATTTGGAAGGTCACTCAGCACTTTGTTTAATTCTTGCCAGGGAAGTAGAATTAAGATTTTATTTTTCAAGGGTTTAATGATTCTCCACCTTGTGATGCTTTTGAAAAATATTTTTATGTTTTAACAGGCCATTTATTCTAAACCTAAAAGGTCCAAAAGGACACAAATGAAATGCCTCCTCATCCTTGACTGAGACAACTAATCTTGCATAATGCTATTATTAGTAGAAAATACGTTTCTGCTAAGGCAGGAGGTAGAGTCACATGGCATAGCATAGCTGCCTATATTCTGAGCAGACAGATGTGGGCAATCTGATAGAATGATGAAAATCAAGTCTGTTCATTCACTTTCTAATAAATTCGCACTTATACAGTCAAAGACGGATGAAATTTTTCTGCCTTTACTCATTATCGTTGTCATTTTCATTACTCAACAAGCGTGTATTATTGATCACTTACTGCACTCATTCAACAATGGCATAATAGGAGTTACGATGAAAGAGAAAATCATGGTCTCTGCTCTAGAAAACTTAGTACTCAGATATCGAGACATTGTGTCCCAAGATATAGCTGTTGATGTTCCTTGCCATTTTTTGTGTGTGTGCAGGTGACTGTGGTCCTCCACCCAAGTTACCATTTGCTTCTCCAATAAATCCGTTGTATGACACTGAATTCAAAACTGGAACTACTCTGAAATACACCTGCCACCCTGGATATGGTAAAATTAATTCAAGTCGACTGATTTGTGATGCCAAAGGCTCATGGAACTATAGTATCTTTTGTGCAAGTAAGTATCAACATTTATTTTTCTCACCTTTACTTTTTTTCCCAGAAAGTTCTTTTAGGAACTTAATGAATTACTTAATTCATATGAAAATCTTTGATCAAAACAGTTCAAAATTAACATCACCTATCGTATTTGGAAGGAGTCAGTTGGGAATACACTTGAACATATTTTTCTAACAGTTAAAATATAGCATCTGCTTCCCTTTCCCTTCTGTTTCCCTGTGATGAAGGTCATATATTTTTGAGAGCATACATTTTTATGGACAACTGGTCAATAAACATATCTAGTATTATCACAGTGGTCTAACTGAGCAAATGAAACCAAGTGAAATTTTTTTTTCTCTTCTTAAAATGTGTCAGAAAAATGAGATATATGTTTACATTTATTTTTTTCTCAAAGCATAGTCACTATCGGCATTAACCAACCACACCTAGCATTCCTACATATTTGCACCCACGCCTTCTTTAAAGCCATATTATTTGTATGCTCTGGATCTATCATCCACAACCTTAATAATGAACAAGACAATCGGAAAATAGGAAGATTATTTAAAATAATACCCCTTACCTCAACTTCCCTAACCATCGGTAGTCTGGCTCTCACAGGCATGCCTTTTCTTACAGGCTTCTACTCCAAAGACCTTATTATCGAAACCGCAAACACATCGTATACCAACGCCTGAGCCCTATCTATCACTCTGATTGCCACCTCCCTAAGAAGCGCCTACAGCACTCGAACCATCCTCCTCACCCTAACAGGACAACCCCGCTTCTCGACCCTAATTAATATCAACGAAAACATTCCCACCCTACTAAACCCAATCAAACGCCTCACAACAGGCAGCCTGCTCTCAGGATTCCTCATCACCAATAGCATCTCTCCCACTTCACTCCCCCAAATAACAATATCACCCAACCTAAAACTCTCAGCCCTACACGTAACTGCTCTAGGATTCCTAGTAGCCCTAGACCTCACTCTTATAACCAATAAGCTTAAAATAAATATTCCACTCCACACATTCAGATTCTCCAATATATTAGGATTCTACCCCATTACAATTCACCGAACACTTCCCTACCAAAACCTACTTATAAGTCAAAACCTAGCCTTCCTCTTACTAGATTCAATCTGATTAGAAAAATCTATACCCAAAACAACTTCACATACCATATTACTACTTCAATCCTCACCGCCACTCAAAAAGGTATAATCAAATCCTATTATCTCTCTTTCCTCATTCCCCTTACCCTAACCTTATTTTTAATCACATAGTCTATTACCCCGAGCAATCTCAATTACAATATATACACCAACAAATAGTGTTCAACCAGTAACTACTACCAATCAGCGCCCATAGTCATATAAAGCACCTGCACCAATAGAATCCTCCCGAATTAACTCCGGCCCTTCTCCCTCAAAAACCACTCAACTCCCTATATTATTAAAATTAATCACCACCACCAACCCATCAAAATCTAAAACTCATAATACCAACCCCACCTCCATCGCCAACCCTACTAAAACACTCCCTAAAACCTCAAACCCTGAACTCCATGCCTCAGGATACTCTTCAATAGCCATTGCCGTAGTGTAGCCAAAAACAACCATTATATCCCCCAAATAAATCAAAAACACTATTAAGCCCATATAAGTCCCCCCATAATTCAGGATAATAACACAGCCAACCACACCACTAACAATCAACGCCAAGCCCCCATAAATAGGAGAAGGCTTAGAAGAAAATCCTACAAACCACATAACCAATAGCACACTGAACAAGAATAAAATATATGTCATTGCTTCCACATGGACTCTAACCATGACTAATGATATGAAAAACCGTCGTTGTATTTCAACTATAAAAACACTGATGACCGCAACACGCAAATCCAACTCCTTATAAAAATAATTAATCATTTCCTCATTGACCTACCCACTCCGTCCAATATTTCCGCATGATGAAACTTCGGCTCACTCCTTGCTACCTGTCTAATCCTACAAATCATCACAGGCTTATTCCTGGCAATACATTACTCGCCAGACACCTCCTCCGCCTTCTCCTCAGTTGCACACATTACCCGAGACGTAAACTACGGCCGAACCCTCCGTTATCTCCACGCTAACGGTGCCTCTATATTCTTTATCTGCCTCTTCCCACATATCGGTTGAGGCCTATACTACGGCTCATTCCTCCTCCTAGAAACCTGAAATATCGGCATTATACTCCTACTTATAACTACAGCAACAGCCGTCATAGGTTACGTACTCCCATGGGGCCAAATATCATTCTGAGGTGCCACGGTAATCACAAACCTCCTGTCAGCCATCCCATACATTGGAACTGACCTTGTCCAATGGGTCTGAGGCGGATATCCAATTGATAATCCCACCCTCACACGATTCTTTACCCTTCATTTTATCTTATCCTTCATTATTACAGCCCTTACAACCTTACATCTACTATTCCTTCACGAAACAGGATCAAACAATCCCTCCGCGATTTCCTCTCACTCCGACAAAATTACCTTTCACCCTTATTATACAATCAAAGATAGCCTAGGCTTAATCCTCCTCCTCCTTGCCCTAATAATATTAGTACTATTTTCACCCGACCTACTAAGTGACCCAGACAACTATACTCCAGCTAATCCCCTAAACACTCCCCCCCACATCAAACTACAATGATACTTCCTATTTGCATACGCAATTCTAGGGTCTATCCCTAACAAACTAGGAGGTGTATTAGCACTTCTACTATCAATCCTCATCTTTGCATTTATTCCCATACTTCACAAATCCAAACAACAAAGCATAACATTCCGCCTACTCAGCCAATTCCTATATTGATTCCTAATCACAATTCTACTGACCCTTACTTGAATTGGAGGCCAACCAGTAAACCACCCCTTCATTATTATCAGACAAATAGCATCCATAATATACTTTATCACAATCTGAACCTTTATACCACTTGCCTCCTTAACCGAAAACAATCTACTCAAATGAACCTGCCCTTATAATATAAGCTAATACGCCGGTCTTGTAAATCGGATACGGAGACTTCTCCCCAGGACAACTCAGAGAGAAAGCACTTAACTTCACCATCAGCACCCAAAGCTAATATTCTAATTTAAACTACTCTCTGTATTCTATGGGGTGCACTTTTTAAGTTTGACTTAAGTACTAACTTATTTTACAACCTCTTATGTAATTCGTGCATTACTGCTAGCCAACACGAATATTACATAGTACTACAAATGCTTAACTGTACATCATACATATTTATGCACACTTATAAACTGTCCTTGCAAACATGCTTACAAGCAAGAATCCTCATGACTTAACCAACTGTAGAACATAACATCAACTACCAAAGATCAAGTTTTCCCCCAAGGATACCAACTAATACCAAAACTCAGTTATCGTACATAGCACATTATACCGTTCATCGAACATAGCACATATAAGTCAAATATATTCTCGTCACCACGGATACCCCCCTCAGTTAGTGGTTTCTTGTTCACCATCCTCCGTGAAATCAATATCCTGCACAAGAGTGCTACTCTCCTCGCTCCGGACCCATAACACGTGGGGGTAGCTACAGTGAGCTGTATCCGGCATCTGGTTCTTACCTCAGGGCCATAAGACTAAGATCGCCCACACGTTCCCCTTAAATAAGACATCTCGATGGATCACGGGTCTATCACCCTATTAACCAGTCACGGGAGCTCTCCATGCATTTGGTATCTTTTATCTCGGGTGCGCGCATGACCCCATCGCAGAAAGCTGGCCCCGCCACACCGTATGTCGCAGGATCTGTCTTTGATTCCTAGTACATACCATTATTGATCGCACCTACGTTCAATATTCCAGCCTCGCATAACTACCAATAAAGTGTTAATTTAATTCATGCTTGTTGGACATAACAATAACCAATCCTATAGTATATTCATCCTAAACTATAAAACCACAACAAATTTTTACCTTTGTTCTCAAATCCCCCCTCCCCATATCTTGCTTTTCCCCTATAAATATACCTTTGCTAAACCCCAAAACCAAAAGCCTCAATTCACCTAGCCAGAGCCTGCGTTCTCATCTTTTAGCTATGCACAATTTTAACTGCTACCCCTCAACTAACACAATCTCCATCTCATCCCACTACTTTCAACTTTAACTCCCTCTCTATTTTACCCCACCTACATACCTACCCACTACCAGACCCACACCCTTATTATCACAACCCTCAAAGACAGGACCTCACAACCATATATAATCCCCCAAAATTTAACAAAACCCGTTTATGTAGCTTAATCAACCTAAAGCAAGACTAATCAACCTAATCAACCTAAAGCAACCTGAAAATGCCTAGACGGATTCATACATCCCATAAACAGACAGGTTTGGTCCTGGCCTTTCTATTAACTCTTAGCAAGATTACACATACAAGTATCCCCGCCCCAGTGAAAACATCCTCTAAATCACCACAATCAAAAGGAGTAAGTATCAAGCACGTATAACGCAGCTCAAAACACTTTGCTCAGCCACACCCCCACGGGAGACAGCAGTGACAAACCTTTAGCAATAAATGTAAGTTTAACTAAGCTATGCTGCACCCACGGTTGGTTAATTTCGTGCCAGACACTGCGGCCATACTATTAACCCAAGCTGATAGAAACTGGCCTAAAGAGTGTTTTAGATCTATTTTAATAAAGCTAAACTCCATCTAAGTTGTAAAAAACACCAGCTGACGTAAAATAAACTACGAAAGTGGCTTTAAAGCTTCTGAATATACAATAGCTAAGATCCAAACTGGGATTAGATACCCCACTATGCTTAGCCCTAAACTTCAATAGTTAGAACAACAAAACTACTTGCCAGAATACTATAAGCAACAGCTTGAAACTCAGAGGACTTGGCAGTGCTTCACATCCCTCTGGAGGAGCCTGTTCTATAATGGATAAACTCCGATTCACCTCACCACTTCTGGCCTAGTCTATATGCCGCCATCCTCAGCAAACCCTAATGAAGGTTATAAAGTAAGCATAAGTGCCCCCGCAAAAAGTTAGGTCAAGGTGTAGCTTATGAGGTGGTAAGAAATGGGCTACATTTTCTATCCCAGAAAACCCCACAATAGCTCTTATGAAATCTAAGAGCCCAAGGAGGATTAAGAGCAGAGTGTTTAATTGAATAAGGCCATAAAGCACGCACACACTGCCCGTCACCCTCCTCAAATATATTTAAGGATCAACTTAACTAAACACCTCTGATATCTATATAGAGGAGATAAGTCGTAACACGGTAAGTGTACTGGAAAGTGCACTTGGATAAACCAAGGCATAGCTTAATATAAAGCATCCGGCTTACACCCTGAAGACCTCAATATAATTTGATTGCCTTGAGCTAACACTAGCCGCAAACCGAATCAATACTAATACCAAATAACTTCTACTAAACCATTCACTCGTACAAAAGTATAGGCGATAGAAATTTTATCCTGGTGCTATAGACACAGTGCCGTAAGGGAAAGATGAAAAAAGACCAACCAAGCACAAAACAGTAAGGATACACTTCTATGCCTTCTGCATAATGAATTAACCAGAGACAACTTTGCAAAGAGAACTAGAGCCAAGTTCCTCGAAACCAGACAAGCTACTCAAAAACAGCTAAAAGAGCACACCCGTCTATGTGGTAAAATAGTGGGAAGATTTCTGGGTAGAGGTGACAAGCCTACCGAGCCTGGTGATAGCTGGTTATCCAAGATAGAATCTTGGTTCAACCTTACGTTTACCTACAGAATCACTTAATCCCCTTGTAAACTTAACTGTTAGTCTAAAGAGGGACAGCTCTTTAGACACTAGAATAAAACCTTGTATAGAGAGTAAAAAAATCCAATTTCCATAGTTGGCCCAAAAGCAGCCATCAATTAAGAAAGCGTTCAAGCTCAACATCAAACACCTAAAAAATCCCAAACATACTACTGAACTCCTTGCATCACATTGGATTAATCTATTATTTCATAGAAGCAACAATGTTAGTATAAGTAACATGAAAATTTTCTCCACCGCATAAGCCCACATCAGACAAGAATTTCACCGATACTTAACAGTCCAATATTTACAAACACAAACAAAACTAATACTACTCACACTGTTAACCCAACACAGGCATGCTTCCAAGGAAAGGTTAAAAAAAGTAAAAGGAACTCGGCAAACTTAACCCCGCCTGTTTATCAAAACATCACCTCTAGCTTTACCAGTATTAGAGGCACCGCCTGCCAAGTGACACGTGTTTAACGGCCGCGGTACCCTGACCGTGCAAAGGTAGCATAATCACTTGTTCCTTAAATAGGGACTTGCATGAATGGCACCACGAGGGTTCAACTGTCTCTTACTTTTAACCAGTGAAATTGACCTGCCTGTGAAGAGGCGGACATAAGATAATACGATAAGAAGACCCTATGGAGCTTTAATTTACTAATGCAATCTAAACCATACAAATCTGTGGACTTTAACTCACTACACCTGCATTAAAAATTTTGGTTGGGGTGACCTCGGAGCATAACTCAGCCTCCGAACAACCTATGCTAAGGCTACACCAGCCAAAGCGAATCAATGCCCACAATTGATCCAATAACTTGACCAAGGGAACAAGTTACCCTAGGGATAACAGTGCAATCCTATTTTAGAGTCCATATCGACAATAGGGTTTATGACCTCGATGTTGGATCAGGACATCCTAATGGTGCAGCAGCTATCAAGGGTTCGTTTGTTCAGCGATTAAAGTCCTACGTGATCTGAGTTCAGACTGGAGCAATCCAGGTCGGTTTCTATCTATTCTATATTTCTCCCTCTACGAAAGGATAAGAGAAATAGGGCCCACTTCATAAAGCGCCCTCTTTCCATAGAAAGAGAAAAAATGAGTCAGAATAAGAAATAAGCATTGAAAAATATCTCTATGTGTATCTGGAAGCAGGAGTTAAAGTTAGTGAACCAGCCTTTTTTTTCTCTAATGTTCTATTTTGTGAGTAATTGGAATCATGAGTCATTATTTTAATTTTCCTCCTAGAGAAACGATGTAGAAATCCAGAATTAATCAATGGGATAGTGGAAGTTAAGAAAGATCTTCTCCTTGGTTCAACCATAGAATTCAGCTGCTCAGAGGGGTGAGTATAAGGCAACCTAGAAGCAATAATTTCCTTTTCATTTAATTTTTATAAGGAGTTAATGCATTTATATGTTTCAAAAATAAAAGTGGCATAAAAAGATACACATCAATAATTCTCACTTCCACCCCATCCTCATTCATCCCATTTCTCTCTACCCTCTGACAGAAAATGACATTGATTAGTTTCAGATTTATCCCTTTAGTGTTTGCTTCTATAAATACAAGTGAGTACAAGTATTTTTATCAACATTTTCCCCCCTTTATTATAACAGAAGATATCTGACTGCGGACATCGTTTTGAACCTTGCTTTTGTTTTTTTCACTTACAACATTGCTATGGACTGAATTTTTTTGGTATTCCCTCAAAATTCATATCTGAATCCCCAGTGTGATGGTATTTGGAGATGGGGCCTTTGGGAGATAATTAGGTCATGGAAACGGAGTCCTCATGTGGGGATTAGTGTCCTCATAAAAAGACATGAGAGAGCTCTCTCTCTCTCTCTCTCTCTCTCTCTCTTTCTCTGCCATGTGAGGACACAGCAGGAAGCCAAACCATCTGCAAATCAGGAAGTGGGCCCTCACCAGAACCTAACTATGTTGGTACCCTGATCTCAGACCTCCTAGCTTCCAGCACTGTGAGAAATAAATTCCTGTTGTTTAAGCCATCCAGTCTATGGTATTTTGTTAAAGCAACCAGAAACATCTAAGACAAATATGTACTAGAGATCTTTGACATTCATGCACCAAGTGTTTCCTCATTCTCTCTGTCTGTGTGTCTATGTGTGTTTACAGCTGTATAGTTTTCTAACGCATGTATCGTAGCTTATCATAGTCTATTTAATGATTCCTACTGATGGACTTTTGTGTGTTTCCAATCTTTTCCTGTTACATACAATGTCCTGATGCATACTTTGTATATATGTTATGTTATATATATTAATATAGAGAGATGTTTGTAGGACAAATTCCCAGAAGTGGGATTGTTGGATTAAAGAGAAGATGCTTTGAAATTTTGCTAAATATTGACAAATTGCTCTTTATAAACTGTAATATTTTGTAATATAAACAAATGCCTATGTCTTTACCTCTGTGATTCACTATTTTATCAAACTTTTGAATTTTTGCCTATTAAAAAGAGAAAAAAATTTCTGTATAGTATTTTTAAAGTTTTTTATTTTTTCAGACCTCTCAGGGATGAAAAACTTTTTATTTTGAGATAAGTGTAGGTTCACATGCAAATGTTAAAAAAAATACAGAAAGAATCCATATCTTTCTCTAGATGACCTTTACATTGTCTTGGCATCATTTATTAATAGATCTACACTTAATCCATGTGAGAGAACATCTTTTAAAAATACGTATTTAATTCTTCAGTGTATATTAGTCTTTTTTAGATGTTCTATTCAATGCTTTTAGTCTTTCTACATATTCACACAACCAGGTCCTTTCTCTTGAATTTTTAGTGTGCAATATCACTTAGAGGTATCTGCCTGACTGTTCTATTTTTATAGTTTTCCTATGTTTGCTTGTTTATATATCCCCATTTACATTTTTCAATTCTTATGTTTAGTCTTTGCTATTTTATTTTATTTTTGTCTTATTTTTGAGATTGCAAATGGTGTCTTTTATTCCATTATATCTCCTAACAATTTTTATTCATATATATGGAAACTACTTATTTCTATATATTAATCTCCTATCTCAGCTAATACCTTGAATTTCCTTATTACTTATAATAGTCTATCAGTTGGTGATATGACTTGGATTTGTCCCCACCCAAATCTCATTTTGAATTGTAGCTCCCATAATTCCCACATGTGGTAGAAGGGACCCCATGGGAGATAACTGAATCATGGAGTGGGGGCGGTTTCCCCCATATTGTTCTCATGGTGATGATTAAGTCTCATGCAATCTGATTATTTTATAAGGGATTTCCCCTTTCACTTAGCACTCATTCTTTCTTGCCTGTTGCCATGTAAGACATGCCTTTTCCCTTCCACCAAGATTTTGAGGCTTCCTCAGCCATGTGGAATTGTCAGTCCATTAAACCTCTTTTTCTTTATAAACTACCCAGGCTCAGGTATGTCTTTATCAGCAGTGTGAAAACGGACTAATACAGTTGGATTTTCTTGGGATTTCCAGATATGTAATTATGTAATCTGAAAATAATGATTCTGTTATTTTCTCTTTTCTAATTTTTGTATTTCTAATTCCTTTTTCTTATGTACTTATGCTAGCAATTACCTCAAATAAAAAATTGATACCAGTTATTGTTCTCTTATTCTTGACTCTAGCAGAAATGACTAGCAAGCATTTTCTTCCTAAATTTAGTGGAGCTGTATCTCCACTGATTCCCATTACATTTAACATTTTTGGCCAAAACTAATTGTTGATTATTTTTCAAATGCCATTTTAGTGACTATTAAGATGATGATTTATTTTTCTTAATAGATTTATTAATATCATGTATATATTAGTCTGCTCAGGCTGTCATAGCAAAATACCAAAATCCCATGGACTGGGACAGTTCTGGAGTCTAGAAGTCTCAGAACAAGGTCCCGCAGGGTTTGGTTCCTGTTGAGGGCTCCCCGCCTGGGTTGCAGATGACTGGTTGTCCTCTCACTGTGTCCACACATGACCTTTCCCTGGTGTCAGCATGAGGGCGCAGGGACTGCAAGTGGGAGATCTTTGTGGTGTTTTTTCTTATAAGGACTTTAATCTTATTGGATCAGGGCCCCACCCTTCTGAACATTAATTACTTCCTTATGCAAATATAGCCACACAAAGGGATTAGGGCTTCCACATACAAATTTTGAGTAGGTACATTCAGTCTATAACAAGGTATTCTATATTAATATATTTCCTAATTTTGAAGAATCCTTTTATTCTTGAAATAAAACTGTACTATTTGGTCATTGTATAATTTTCTTTTAAAGTGTTCCTGGACTGTGTTTGATAATATTTTATTCAGGAGCTTATTATTGATATTCAGGGTAAATTTTTTTTAAAAGGCAAAAAGTCCTAGAAGGAAGACTGGGACTTGTCAAGAACAAGAACAATGAGATGATAATCAGGAAGTTAGAAACCTAAGAGTTCCTAAGGAACTCTCAGGTTTATGAGAGTAAACCAAGCTCTAGAAGCCAGAAGAAAGATTCAAATTAGAGGTCAGAGTACTAGTACACATCAGTAATGTGTCTTGCTCCTTTATTTAAAGGAAACTACATAACAAACTCGAGTGAACCACTTACTTGTTTTGAGCTGCTTGATTTATAGCTTGTTAGGGAGAGTGTAAGATTTAAGCCAAGTCCTCAGATTTTAGGTGTAAAGCTTGTTCTGTTCTATTTTTATTCATTGCGGATGGGTACCATGTGATACAAAGAAAAAACTTAAGTTGCTTAGACAAGCTAGAGCATTTTAAAATTGAGCAAATAAACCCTTTGCTTGATATGAGAAAATGTAACTGCAAGCTGGCCTAAATGGTCATTAGTAATCAAGAAAGCATTATTTTTTCATTTCAAAATATTTAATAAAAATTGGTTTCTTTTTTTCTTTAACAGGAGGAAATTACAGTGTTTATTGGTGCAACATACATGTGGGAGAGCTTGGTGATGAGTAACTCAAAGGGGGTGATTCGAATTTGGGGCTTATATACCGTTTTAGTAGGTGATGGGAGAAAGGCACTTATGGGAAGCAAATGACTCTTTAGAAAGATAAATACATTTTCAGGAGAACAAACAGGAGATAAGAAAGTTCGCAAAAATATATATTTTTACAATTTTTATTTTAGGTTCGGGGTACATCTGCAGGTTTGTTATATAGGCAAACTCATGTCGTGGGGATTTGGCGTGCAGGTTATTACATCACACATGTACTAAGCATAGTACTCAATATTTATTTTTTTCTGATTTGTCCAAAACCTCATAGATAATTTATGTCTAGAGTAAATGAATTCCACTAAAATCTCTGACCTACCTTATTTAGGTTTTTCTTAATTGGCTCAACCACCAGTCGTTGTCAGATCCAAGGTAAAGGAGTTGACTGGAGTGATCCTCTCCCAGAATGTGTAAGTAAGTAAAACTTTTTTTTCTGACCTGACTACAAACCTAAACTACTTTAGGGAATAACACTACTGTGAAATTTCACTGCTTCTTTTATCCTCCATTATAATTTGCATGAATTTTGGATTTAACACAATGCCTACCCTGAGTATTTCTTTCTCTTCACTTACTCACCTCAGTTGCCAAGTGCGAGCCCCCTCCAGACATCAGGAATGGGAAACACAGCGGTGGAGATCGAGAATTCTACACATATGCCTCCTCTGTCACTTACACCTGCAACCCCTACTTCTCACTTATAGGCAATGCCTCCATCTCCTGCACGGTGGAGAATAAAACAATAGGTGTCTGGAGCCCAAACCCTCCTATCTGTGAAAGTAAGTCAGAATGATAAGTTCTGCTTTGATCTCTTTTATTTGTTTAAAAGCAAAAGGAAGGCGTATTTATTAGGGAAGATGGAATGATTAAAAGAGAAACTAATCATTGCAATGATGGAGTCATTCATTTATTCAACTAATCTTGTCGCATGCTGTATCAGTCAGAAGAGCATAGGGTGTGCTGCAGTAGTAATCAACACCTAAATCTCAAGGCCTTTATATAGTAAATGTTTTTTTCAAGTTTCTTCTTAGTGCACTGCTAGCCTGGGAAACTCCCTAGGGCAGCTGTCACTTATATGGTAATCCAGATTGTTTAGATCTTTGACACCTCCATGTCAAAACTTCCACAATTAGTTCAGTGGGAGAAGAGAAAAAGGAAAGTCAGTCTCAGGCTCTTCAGTTCTTTGACCCGCAAGTGACACGTATCACTTGTCATTACAGCCTTTTGGCCAGAACTAGTTCCTTGGTTCTGCATAATGCAGAGTAACTGCGAAACATTGTCTTTTGTTTATCTTACAATAACTGGAAATATGGGTGGACACTAATCATGTCAACCATGCATGCCTGCTCCTTAGCAAACAAAACAACAGCAACACCAGCAGGTAATAAAGGTAATACAAGACAATGAAAGAAAGTACTTTCCCTTGGCCTCTCTATGGAAGCCAGAAGAGATGTTTTGTCAATATCAGTAATGATTCAGCTTGCTGGTTTAGGGCATTATTCTTTACTGCAATTAAAGTGCCTAAAACCATAGTATCACATATTGTTTTGACTCAGTACAGGACACAGCCAATGCCGGGGCGAGAGAGAACATAATAGTGAAAAGACTGCAAGAAGTGGAAAAGGCAGGAGCTGAGGCTGGATAAGTTAGTAGGGGCCAGGTTATGAAAGCCTTGTGTGTCGCTTTCAGGAGTTTGGAATGAAGGAAAAGGGAAGACATTAAAAGGACAATGTGAAGTGAGACAAAACATAACTGATAGGCACCTGTTGCAACCTTTCAGCCAGGAAATGAAGGTGGCTTCAACTGTAGCCATAGCAGTAACCCTGGAGGGAAGTTGAGGAAGTATAGAGGAATTAAGGTGGCAGGATTGACAGGACGTGATGACTAACATGTGGGGTGAAGGCAACTTGTTCTCTGCTTATGGAGGCGCACCACAGATTTCCCGATGCCCTGGCTGCCTCTGCATGACACCATATCATTACCATGGGTCACTGACCCCCAACCAAAATCATCCAGGAAATAAGGCGATTTAATGGAAGGATTTGGAGACATTGAGATTTGGACTTCAGGGTTTAGATATTGCTCATTGTTATCGATGAGAAAGCTGGAGGACTTTACATGACCAACATGATGGGACTTCATTTTGCTGAGGTTTCTGGCAACTTGAAGTATACAAATCTCCAAAATGTTTTCTTTGTTCAGTACCTATTAAATATATGCTTGTGTTAGACCCTCCTTGAAGCAATGCCAACAGTTACAGTCACATCTTTACTGCCATTTCTCTCTGATAACTCAGATGTCTTTTTGTGTGCTTCTTTAGAAATTGTCTGTCGTCGACCACAGATTCCAAAGGCAATCTTTGTTTCTGGATTTGGACCCCTCTATACTTACAAAGACTCTATTGTGGTTAACTGTGAGGAAGGTTATAGCCTCCGAGGCAGCAGTTTAATCTATTGTGAAGCGAATAATGAGTGGTATCCTTCTGTTCCCTCTTGCGTATCCAGTGAGTATGGACTACGATGGAGTTCCAATATTTGAATCTAAAATTATCCTGACATATAGGTGTGGCATGCTCATGGGCACAAGCCAACTCAACTCCCAATAATCATTTTAAGATAAATTAATACTTTTCTTGTTAAAAGGAAGATTTTTTTTTGTTAATGATATCTTAGTGCTATTGGAAGAATTTCATATATATCATATAGTCATGAGACCAACGACTTCATAGATATTGTAGACTTATATATTTGCTGTAAAAATTTTCCAGGAGACAATAGTAAAGTGTTTCAGTCTAACAAAATCAACATATTAAGATAATTTTTTGAACAATGGAAGTAAGATTCCTTTAAGGCAGTTCTTTTTTATAATTTGCATAGAAATGCTCTATGGGCCAATATTGGTCTTGAGACCCTGATGTTGTAAATACATACAGATCATTTATAACATTAATGATTTATTGCTAACATTTATTGAGCATTTTCTATGTGACAAACACTGTTCTAAGTGCTTTACATCAATTAGCTCATTCAATATTTGCAACTATTCTAAGAAGTTGCTATTTTTTATCCAATTTTAATGATGAGAAAACTGAAAAAGAAAGATTAAGTAACTGGCACTAGCTCACATAGCTAATTGGAGGTGGAAGCCACCACTACATTGTGGTTTATCTAGTCTCTTCTGCTATCACATGAACTTAGGTGCCATTCAAAATGTGTAGTGATGAAATTCAATAAATATGCAGTTTGACAGACACATATCCTCTCCTTGATCCACACGGACCTTTAGTATATTGTTGAATAGAAAAAAAAAAAAAATACAAGATGAAAGGCCCAGCTGCAAAAGTTACATGGGGCTTGGTTTGAAGCCAAAGCATGAAGTTGCAGATGATAAGGTCATGATGTCAAGAAGAATCCCTCTTATTGTAATTCCCCATTAGGCAACGAGATTAGAAAGTCAGTCTCACCCTGGAGCAAATTTTTGCTGTGTCTTTCTAGTGATCCTAATGCTTCCCCTGAAGACCAACCATTCTAAAGTGCAGTGACGTGAAAGGAAAACTAAGCTCCTACAGAGTTGGCCCAGCACCTAGAAACTGTCCCCTTCCTGCACCATGGCATGCTTCTCCGTACAACCTCTCCAGTGGCACATGCATTTAGTAGACACATGCACTTAATAGACGCTAGTCTATCAGGCAACGGTGCTGCCGAGTCTTTTTCTGAAATTCTCATTTAATCTTTACCGTCTCATTTTTTGCTGAATGAGTATATGATATCACTATTTTGTGACAGGCTCCTGAGTCACTCTGCCATTCCCAGTAACATGTTTCTTTCACCCTTGTGCTTTCTTTATGAGTGGATGCTTGTACCGACCTACCGGACATTTCCTATGCTTCCTGGGAGAGAAATGACTACAACCTAAGTGATCAGGAAATATTTGAAATTGGAACTGAGTTGAAATATCTATGCAAACCTGGCTATAGACCTGTTTTAGATGAGCCTCTGACTGTGACTTGTCAGGAAAATTTGACATGGACATCTTCCAACGAGTGTGAGAGTAAGTAGACTTGAACTTTGTGTGGTGTGTATGTGTGTGTATCTTCTTTGCTATTGAAAATGTTGAGCAGAGTCCTTGAAATTTGGTGAGACTTGCTTCACTCCATAGCATGTAGTTAATTTTTATAACTGTTCTGTGTGCACTTGAAAAGATGCATATTTTGCAGTCATTGGGTGCAATGTTATATATACATCAATTAGATCTAATTTTAATGGTTTTGTTCAAATCTATTCCCGTATCTATATTTATTTCTTGTCTGCTTGTTCTCTCGGTTACTAAGAAAGTTTTGTCTGTCTTTTGTCTTTTCAGAGTTTTTATTTATTTGTTTGCTTGTTTGCTTGTTTTGAGACAGGGTCTTGCTCTGTCACCTAGGCTGGAATGCAGTGGCATGATCTCGGCTCGATGCAGCCTCAACTTTCCGGGCTCATGTCATCCTCCTGACTCAGTAGCTGGGTCTACAAGTGTACACTACCACACCTGGCTCATTTTTGTATTTTTTGTAAAGATGGGGCTTTCCCGTGTTGTCCAGACTGCTCTCAAACTCCTGGACTCAAGAAATTCACTCACCTCGGCCTCCCAAAGTGCTGAGATTACTGGTGTGAGCCACCACACCTGGCCATCTTTTTTGTTTTTTCAAATCATTTTTTGCTTTGCGTATTTTGAGACTACATTGCAAGATGCATACAAATTTAGAGTGATATATTTGCCTGATAAATTTCACTTTTTATCATTATAAAATGACTCTATTACTGTAACTATTTTATCTTTAAAATTCTACTTTTACATTAATATAATTCTGACAACTTTGAGTTAGTGTTTACACGGTTTATCTTCTTTTAGTCTATTTTTTTTTACAATTTCTGTAATTATATGTATTTTTAAGTGTATCTTGGAAGCAAGATAGAGTTGGATATTTTAATCCTACTTGACAATTTTCATTATTTAATTAGAGCACTCGTCAGTTTACAGTTAGTGTAATTATTAATATATTTGAATTTATATCTAGTATCTATCTGCTACATACTTTTTTGTTTTACATTCTTTTTTCCATTCTTTGAATTGATTTAAAAATTTTTTTTCCATTTTTTACCTGGTATTTACTTGGCATTTATTTACTTTTAGCTCTTTTTATGATGTTTACACATAATTTACTACTTTTGCCTCTTCCCAGGCAATGAAAAGCCGTAGAAACCTTTAACTTGATTTATCCTGCCTGACTTAATATGATTTTATTTTTGTGTATTTCAATTATAAATGTGTCTTAAACTCTGCATTATTATCATTATTACTATTGCTATTATTATTTTAGTAAATCCAATTAGTTTAGATTTGTTCACATAATTACTATTTTATTCTCTTCTGATTCTTCAGTCATATCTATTGTCCTTTTCTTTTGCCTCATAAATACTCTTTAGTTTCCTTTAGTGAGAACCTGTTGACAATAAATTTCTCTCTTTGTTTTTCCTCAATGCACCATTATTTCGCCTTAATATTTGAAAATATATTTGCTGGATATAAAATTCTAGATTGGCAATTATTTTCCGTGGCCACGTGAAAGATTTCATTCCATTGTCTTCTGCCTTTATTTGTTTCTGTCAAGAATTTTGCTATTAGTCGTACTGTTGATCATGTGAAGGTTATCTATTTTTTCTGATTGCTTTTAAGATGTTCTTGTCTTTATTTTTTGGCAGTTTTTGTCAGATATGCCTGGGTTGGTTTCTTTGTGTTTAGCCTGCTTGAGATTTAGAATATTTCTGGAATATGAAGTTTGATGCCTTTCATTGATTCTGGAAAAATTTTCAACTTCAAATACTTCAATATTACAAATAAGTATTTTCTTAGAGTACAATTTTAGCCCTATTTTCACTCTTCTACTGACACTTTGGCTACGTTTATGTTAAGCTCTTATACTGAATCTTCTATATTTCCTGTGCTCTTATCGGTGTTTTTACTTTTTGTCTCTCAGTATTTTATTGTGAATATAAATTATGTTCACTAATTCTTCCTTCATTGATGTATTATCTGATATTAATTATTAATTGAATTCTTAACTTTATTATTTTTTCAGTTTCAAGGTTCCCACTTGTAGTGGATTTGTAGTATTGATATTGATTTTTCTACCAAAATTCTCAATGTTGTATTTTATTTCCTTCTACATAACAAAACAAAGTGGCTTTTAAATCAATGTTTAGAACTTCATTTTCTGGATCCTCTCAGATCTGTTAGCATTGTCTCTTGCTTTCTTTGGCTTTTAATAACCTTGTCTGGTCTCCTGTTTGCTTGTGGCAGGTAGTAAGAGGCATTAAGGGCTTTGAATGACCTGAATCCAATCAGGGAATGTAACGATACAAGCCTGGGTTTCAGTACTTATTACAGATAGTTGGTCTATTTTTGGTTTGTTCTTACTTCAAGATATAGTTCTAAAGATTCCCAAGAGCTGCGGGTCACCAGCAATCACACACATTGAGTTCTCATCAGCTTCTTAGCCACTCAGTTGTACTTTGGGGGAGGAGAATTATTGTGTATATTTATATAATATTATATATGTAATATTATATATATTTCAACAGAGAAATATAGATATAATATTATATATTAGTATTTCTGTTGAAATACCAAGGAATATTTTTTATATATATAGTGTTTGTGTGTGTGTGTGTGTGTATATATGTCTACATTCCTGGCATACCTCGTTGGGTATCTTTCTTTCTCATTTAAAGAACTAAGACAATTAAGGTCTTAGCACCTGAATTCTTCACGGATTAACCGCCCCCTTCCCGCTATGTTTTTCTACTTGTTATCAAAGAGGAGGTGAATCTAAATTGCTTAGCTCATCACTGCCAAAATCAACACTTCATTTTAAGGACTTCTAATGAAGAAACACAGTTGGAGGGAAATTAAGTAATAGCATTTCAACCAAACAATAGCAGAATTTGGAGAAGATATTTGGTCTAACTCTTCTCTCAACTTCTTTGTTTCTTTCTTTCTCTTTCTCTCTTTAAATTACGGCAAAAGCACTTAACATGAGATCTAGCCTTTCAACAAGTTTTTCAGTGTACAATATAGTACTGTTAATTATAGGCACTATTTGTAGAGCAGATTTCTAGAATTTATTAATCTTGCACAACTGAAACTTTATACCTATTGAACAAGTGGAGAGTTGTTTCCCCTTCCTTCTCCAGCCTCTCGCATCCACCGTTCTACTCTCTGCTTCTATGAGTTTGTCTTCAGATATTAACATCTTCTATAAGGTGGAATCAGGTCTTCAGCCAAAGGTGTGTCCCCCTGATTGATTTACTAAACGTGAACATCATTTAAAAATTTTTTTTAAATGTTTGTGGGTACATAGTAGGTGTATTTATTTATGGGGTACCTGAGATATTTTGATACAGACATGTAACATTGAACATTTTTTAATCCATCAGGGGTATGTTGCCCAACACCAGATCTAGAGAATATCAGAATCATAAATGAAAGGAGGTATTTCACTGGTAGATGTGTCTACGCCTATGGAGACAATATTTCATATATGTGTGATGAAGGCTCTTATCCTGTTTCTGTTGATGGGGAGAGTTCATGCCACACAGATGGCACATGGAAGCCTAAAACGCCAGCATGTGAACCAGGTAAGAATATTGAGATAACTTGTCGTAATTATTTCCTAGTTTTCCCAAATGATTCCACTTGGTTCCACAAAGGATCAAAGTACTTAAAACTAACTGAATTTGAGGTTGTTCCTCCAAGAAGCATTGTGCAAAGAGGATCACAGATACACACCACTAGCACCATGCAAGGCAGCTATAGAACAAAATATGTTGGAAGACAAACTTATAGGAGAAATTTTCTCATAAGAGAAAAAAGTAGAATTGATGAAGTCATTCAGTCTCATTTTGTCATTTTTCCTGCATGTATGCTGATGTTTTAGTAAAGAGGGACACTACCTCACAAAGCTCCATATTTATAAGTCAAGGCAGAAAACATGATTTACATATTGTGTAACAATGGAAGCTCCAGGTTGAAGAAGTGATCTGTTAGGGAGAGCCTTGAAGCCTAGTGGCTGACAGTGTCAGCCTTTTCTTTCCTTGCTTTGACTCAGACCTACTGAACCACCTCTCTGTTGAAATACCAAGGAGAAGAAATAAGCATCTAGGTGATAAACGTCTGTCTGTAATCAGGATAAGACATTGAAAATGTCATTATTATGGAAGTATCTTCATTATGAAAGACTCTTCACATCAACACGATGCTGATTACTTGGTACTATAGTTTGGGTTTCTCTAAAAGCAAAACTTGAGAAAAATGACTTGGGAGCCAGTAGTTTATTTTGGAGGTGATTCTAGGAGGTAGGAGCAAGGGTTGAGAGAGAGACAAGGGAAATAAGCAAAGGTGACTATTATAAGCAGCAGGGGCTCAATTCTTTGGGACCACAGAGAAGTGTAAGGAATGCCTTTCATAATTATCTGTCTGAAGGATGGGAGACTGGGACATTTATCCAATACTTTCTGTTGCTCATTGTTTTAGGGTTGAAAGGGCAGTAACTGCTTCAGTAATTTAGTCAGTAACTGAGCCTCAATTGCAACTGTGCTCTTTCAGCTGCAGAAGAGGCTCCAAAGTAAGACTGACAGATTCACACTGAATGCTTTCTGTAGAACATCATCAGCATAAGTCTGAGCTTGTGTAAAACTATATATTTAATCTGCAACTGTAGTCAGAAGTCCAAAGGGACATGGCAATGGGTACAAAACATTTGTTACCATATATCCTTCGCACCACTCGATTTGTTTATGTTCCATTAATTAAACTCTATTAATCTTAAGTAATCTACTGCTAACAAGTGTTATATAAGGAAAGAACAGACATTGTGTATTGAAATAATCAAAGAAAGCTTCATGGAGAAGTAGGACTTGAGATAACAATTAGAGAAGGTAAGCAAATTCTAATAAGGAGGAGTCCCAGGAGGAAATGTTCATATATAGAAGTGGAAATGTACATGACAAGTTTAGGGAAGGAGGAGTTGACTAGTTTGGTTAAACAGAAAAAGTGCTAGATAGGGCTGAGTGTGGATGCTCATGCCTGTAATCCCGGCACTTTGGGAAGCTGAGGTGTGCGGATCACCTGAGGTTAGGGATTCGAGACCAGCTTGGCCAACGTGGTGAAACCCCGTTTCTACTAAAAATACAAAAATTAGCTGGGTGTGGTGGCACACACTGGTAATCCCAGCTATTTGGGAGTCTGAGGCACGAGAACCGCTTTAACTCAGGAGGCAGAGGTTGCAGTGAGCTGAGATCACGCCACTTCACTCCAGCCTGGGTGGCAGAGTGAGACTCCATCTGAAAAGAAAAAACAAAAAGTGCTAGATGAATTTGAAGGATCTATGAAAAAGAAAGGCCAATAGAGGTATTTTTATTTTTTCAAATGTCCATGGTTTGTTAAAGGCGCTGATTATTTTATTTTTAGAAAATAGAGCATTTTAAAATCCCTGACACTTAGTTTTAATCTTAGGAGGCAATCATCCTTCAACACAGGATTTCCTTTGACATTCTCAGGGCTCTAAATTTGTTGCAATTTTTCATCCAAGAGTTCCTGAAACTTGAACGTTCCCTTCTAGTGTGACTACCCCAGCATTTCATATTACTTATGTCAACACTGAAATCATTGTTTAAATTGTAAAATATGCTAATTATGTTCTGATGGTGTTGTAGTTATGGATAAGATTGTTTGGGGATCCTGCAGTTATTCAGAGCCTTTACAACTATTCAGAGATAAATATTTCCTTTACTTAGCCTGACTTCTATTGAGATTGATTTTCATTTAATATGACTCTCTGTGGTTGAACTTATGCTTTCATACCAAAGCTCATTTAACTTCCCTAAGCAGTGAAATATTTTAGTGATCATGTAAACAAAAACCAAGAAAGGTCCTATAAAATGGAGGATTCTCTCAACTCAAGAGTTGTTTTCATTCACATCAAGTTTTTCTCTAGGTTCTCAGGTGGAAAGCAGTATAAATGTTGAGTTGTGTCAAGTTACCTTATGGAAAAAGGATTTGGATGGGAACATTTGAATCTCCTACAGATCACTCAGATTTGGGGAGATTAATTTGAAACTATGAGTTCATGCTCTTCTGTCTCTCTCATCATCCAAGTTTGCAGTTACCCTCCCAGTATTGCCCATGGACACTACAAGGAAGTTATTTTAATAACTCCTTATCCTGAGGCTACATACGAATGTGATGAAGGATATGTTTTGGCTGGATTTGCTACAATCTACTGCAAGTCTTTTCACTGGCAACATGCACCTCCTCAATGTAAAGGTAACTCCAACTCAACTCATAATCCATTGAAGACAGAAATAGAAAATATTAATAGCAATGTTTCCTATTAATCAAAGGCAGCATACATTTTGTCTTTATTTATTTATTCATACTATTTAAATTATGCCTGATATATTTTAAAAATTAATTGACAGGTACATTGAAAATGAACTGTTCTTCCTATTCCAGTCTTCCAAAATCATAGCTTGCCCTATGTTCAGAGAGAACCACTACTACAAGGTTCTTATGTATCTTTCCAGAATATGTTGAGACAATATCTTTTACCTGAGAATACCTTTGTGACTCTAGTTTTCATGAGAATCCTGAGTTAATTTCAACTACTCAAGAAAGAGGAATCTCAAGTGTTAATTCCCAAATTATGACGTGTTGGAAATCTCCACAAAAACTTCATGATGGTTACCATTTCCCCATGATCTTCACATTTCTACTTTTGATGACCTGATGGTGGTGCTGTTGGTAAACCTGCTGTAGAAACAAGACGAATCAAGTAAGGCTCTATCTCTTGATTGTGCTTGGAGCTTTCATCATTCTGCTAATAATTACCACTGGCTCCATCTAACCCAGGAAGATTATGAAGCAAGAACAATGGAAATAAAACATCAGGAATCACACAAATCAAGGCTGTGGGATGGAGCAATTGAGAGCACCAATTCTTACCACTTACAAGCTATTTGATACTGAGGAAATATTTAACTTTTCAGTTTCCTTGTTGGTAAAATTGTGATAATAATAGTATCTAACTCATAGATTGGTAGTGAGGATTAAATGAGATAAGTAAAGAATTTAGCACATAGACTGACATATAGTACTTGTTCAATAAATGCTAATAATTACTGTTATAATTATCATTAAAATAAAAGCATAGAACAACCTGCAGGACCAGAATATAATTATGAATACAATGTCTTATCCGTTTTATTATCCAATACTGATATGATGACTTTTTTTTAGAAACAGTATGCTCAAAAATATGTTTCCATTACAGCTCTGTGTCTGAAACCAGAAATAGTGAATGGAAGGCTGTCTGTGGATAAGGATCAGTATGTTGAGCCTGAAAATGTCACTATCGAATGTGATTCTGGCTATGGTGTGATCGGTCCCAAAAGTATCACTTGCTCAGAGACGAGAACCTGGTACCCAGAAGTGCCCAGGTGTGAGTGGGTAAGTGGCACAATTCAAGGAAGTTCTGTGCTACCAATCCCTAAAAATAGTGGCTTCTCCCAAGGTTCTGTCCCAGTTAGCAATGCGGAGATCTGACTTTTGTCGGGAAGCATAAGTAACTTACCACAATTAGCGCTTCCAAACTTGCATGGCGATAAGCCTAGAGAGACACATTTTCCTGCTGTGTGTCTAGAGCCGAAATCTCTAGACTTGAGAGTCTGTTGATCCAGATGTCCTGACCCCTCGCTCTACATTATGTACAATAAAGGTTGTGCATTTGTTCCATTCCTGGTTGGTCCTCAGAACCATCCCTCAGTTGTCCTTGTGGATGTGCTTTGCATCTGTTTTGGAGCCCAGCATCTTTTTAGCTTCAACCTGCTTGGTTGCTGCTCAAGGACAGATCTGGGCTTGGCTTGCATGTGAACACTTGCTAGGATGCACTGTCTCTCCTGATTTCCTCTTTGTTCCTCAGGTCAGTCTCCCTTTTGCCAGTAATGACTCTCAAAATGTACTCCCATCCCCTACTCATTTCTTTAAATCACTTTTAGGAGGCACCTGAAGGTTGTGAGCAAGTGCTCACAGGCAGAAAACTCATGCAGTGTCTCCCAAGCCCAGAGGATGTGAAAGTGGCCCTGGAGGTGTATAAGCTGTCTCTGGAGATTAAACAACTTGAAAAAGAGAGCGACAAATTGATGAACACCCATCAGAAATTTTCTGAAAAAGAGGAAATGAAGGACTTATTTTTCCCTTCAAATCAACATACAGAATCTTCATTCATCAATTCTACTCTTCCTTAAGCAACATCACTCTAATAAGTGTCTGGGCTGCAGAACTTTCTTACTACTGCTAGAGAAAATGTGTAATTATCGGTAATCTAGCCTTTTGTGGCTCAAATGTCTACTTTCCTGGACTTGAAGTGCTGGTTAATTAAATAATTATTTATCAAATATCAGTTTGTGTTGTCATCTTGGTCAATATGTCGCATAAATATGACACATTCCTGTACACAAATCCACTGCCTAAAGTTTGTGTAATTAACTTTGCCTCACTTTTTTTGTGCCTCAGAAAGAATGGAAGCCAGGGAATTCAAACCATGTTCATACTGTAATCTTTACCTGAATGCCTTTACTCTGAATCCCGCATGTGCCTACCCTTTACCTACAGAAAAGGATACAAAACTCAAAGGATTTTCTGCAACATTACAGACAAAACCATTGTCTGTCTGATGGCCCCTGTCCATTAGTAACTTATCGCTTTACCCCTGCACAGAATTCCACTCTTCTCACTTTTAACAGCACTTTGAACAGATTGGGCTTGCATGTTGCTCAGCTTTATAGAAATGGAATCATCCATTATGCATTCTTTCACACATGTTATTTTTTTCCTTTAAATATTGTATTTGTGAGATTCATCCATGTTATACATAGTTGAGGTTCATTTATTTTCATTTCTATTTAGTACTCCACCAGTGTATGAATATATCACAATTAACTTATCTTGATGAACAGTTGGGTTATGTTTAGTTTTTTGGCTATCATGAATAGTGCTACTATGAATAATTTTGTAAATGTCTTTTGCTGAACATTGACATTTTTTTCTCCACATAAACCTGAGGATGGGATTGCTGACTTATAAGGTGTGTGTATGTGTTTGTTCAGTTTTCCAAAGCTGTTATACCAAACCACACTCCTGCAGAACATGGAACACTTGCTATTGTTAATGGTTCTTTTTTTTTTTTTTTGAGAAATTCTGTTGGGTATCACATTGTGCTTTAAATTTGTTGTTCCCCAGTGATTAGTGAGACTGAATTACTTTTCATATGTTTGTTGATCATTTAGATATTCCTTTACCGCAAACTGCTAGTTCAAGTCATTTACTCATTTTTCTATTGGATGATTTACCTAGCTCTAATTTAGTTGTAGGAGTTTTTAATATACTCTGGACAAAAGTCCTTTGTGAGATATGTATTGCAAATATCTTTTTCCTGATCTATGGCCTGCCTTTTTTTACTTTCATAAAGTTTTCCTAAAGTGTGTTGTATAAAATAAATTCCTAATTTTAATGTAGTACAGTATATCAAGTGCTTCCCTTTTGATTAGCATTTTGTATCCCATTTGAGAAATCTATGCCTACCCTCAAATCTTTGCCCATGTTTTTTTTTAAGATATTTTAAATTTTACTTTCACACTTAGAACTATGATCCACCCATAACTGCTATGATGTAAGGTAAAGGACCAAGATTCATTTTTTTCCATATGGATATACAATTAATCTGGTATACTTTATTTAAAAAAACCCATCCTTTCTCCCACTACTCTGTAGTGTCACTTTGTCATAAGCCAATTAGCTATGCATATTTGGCATTTGTTCTTATTCACAGTTGTTAACCCTTGGTCTATTTGACTGTCTTACATCAACACCACAATGTCTTCTTTACTACAGCTTCATAATGAGCCTTGATATCTGGCAATGTGGGTCCTTCTCCTATTCCTCTTCCATCTCCTCTTTAGATTACATTGACAATTCTGCTCGTTTACACTTAAACGAATTTTAAAATCAGCTTGTCAATTTTCACCAAAATTCTTTTGAAATTTTTATTAGAATGCATTTTATCTATGTATGAATTTGGGAGGAATTTATATCTATACAACATTGTGCCTTCTAACCCATAAACATGGTATTTTCCTACATTTATTTATATCTCTTATTTATCTCTAGCTTTCAGTGAAGAGCTCTTATACATCTCTCATTGAACTTTCCTCTGGTATTTTAAATTGTACATTTATAAAAACATCTTAAACTTTCCTCTGGTATTTTAAATTGTACATTTATAAAAACATCTTTTTTATATAATTTTTGGATAGTAGATAATTGTTTTTAATTGTTGATATTTTATTTCATAATTAGCCAATTCTAATTAATTTTTGATATATGTCTTTGGCTTTTTAAAGTTCCTAATTATGTCACCTGTGAGAAATAACAGTTTGCCTTCCTTCCAACTCCTACCATTTATCTATCTATCTATCTATCTATCTATCTATCTATCTATCTATCTATCTATCTATTTATCTATCTTTCTATCTATCTATCTCTCTATATGCCTGCCTGCCTATCTATTTACTCAACTGACATTCTATTCCCATGAATGGGACCTGCAATTCAATGTACTATGGAAGCAATTGTTCACATCTTCTTATTGGTCTCAAGAGAAAAACTTTTAATGGCTCACTATTATGTAGTATGTCTATTGCATACCACCCTGAATATGCTCGGTCTTGTCTGATTGAGAAAGTTTCTTTTCATTCCTAATTTTCTAAGAGGTTTCCATTTTTATCATAAATTGTTGTTGAATTTTATCAAGTACATTTTCTGCATCTAGCGAAGTTATCAAAAATATTTTTTCTGTTAATGTAGAGGATGCTGTAATGCTATTTGTTGCTGCATAATAAACTACCCCAAAACTTACTTAATGGCTTAAAATGGTAACATTTACTTTGTTCATAAATCTGCAGTCTGGGCAGAACTTTGTGGAGGATGACTTTGCTCTACTCAGCATCAGTAGAGGTGTCTCACAGACTGGGAGCTGAAATCATCTAAAGATTTGCTTACTCACATGTTTGCTATCTGAGTTGGGAAGACTTAACAAACTGAGGGCTAGAACAGCTGGAACTCCTCAGACATCTCTTTATGTCTGCCCTTTGGTTTACTAGTCTGGCCACTTTAGAATAGCTCCAACTATCAACTATGATTTTAGGAAATATATAGTATCCTGGTTGGGTACAGTATCCCACGCCTGTAATCCCAGCACTTTGGGAGGCCAAGGTGGGTGGATCACTTGAGGCCAGGAACTTCAAGACGAACTTGGCCAACATGGTGAAACCCCATCTCTACTACAAATACAAAAATTAGCTAGGGATGGTGGTGCATGCCTAATCCTAGCTACTCGGGAGACTGAGGCATGAGACTCGCTTGAACTTGGGAGGTAGAAGTTGCAGTGAGCTGAGATTGTGCAACTGCATTCCAGCTTGGGTGACAGAGGAAGACTCTGTCTGAAAAGAAAAGAAAAGAAAATATACCACATCCTATAGTTCTATATTCCAAATTCATAAGGCATTCTTTCTTAGCTTCTTGGGCATTCAGTAGACCATTGCCCTCTTTCATAATGTTAGCTGCTTCTGTGACGGGATACCACATAGAACGAGTGAATCTCAGGAGCATCATTTCATTGACTTATATTATTTCATCATCAAGTGAATTCCTTGATCAGAAGCAATAATGTATGTCCTCCCATAACAGGTAATAAAGCATTTAGTAAGTCCACAGATGGTATGGTAGCAAGAAGCCTTGCCACAGGGATGATAAATCCAAATCCATTCAATAATCTATTGCAGCAGAGGTAAATCACTGTACCCTCCGTAATGAGAACTCAAATGATTGGCTGACATCCGTCTAATATGGTACCAAGATGGATGTTGGTAGATATAAATGCCAGCTTTCTTAATCCACAGGTAGGCAATCTCTGAGGCATGTTCTACACTCTACCTAAGGTTCCTTAAGGGGTTTAGCTTCAGTTCCCCACAAAGGCAACTTGCTCACCAATGTAAACATATTTATTTTCTTCTCTCCCATTTTTACATCCTTATCCCTTTAATGGTGTATTCTAGGATCTCATAAATTTCATAAAGTTCTTCTCAAGGACTGCATCTTGGTAGGCTGAGGCAAATTCTTTTGCATTCACATATTTTGTTCATTCAATAGGGGTTGATATGGTTTGGCTGTGTCCCCACCCAAATCTCATCTTGAATTGTAGCTTCCATAGTTCCCATGTGTTGTGGGAGGGACCTGGTGGGAGATAATTGAATCATAGGAGTGGTTCCCCCATACTGTTCTCGTGGCAGTAAATAAGTCTCACAAGAGCTGATATTTTTATAAGAGGAAACCCCTTTTGTTTGATTTTCATTTCTCTCTTGCCTGCCACCATGTAAGATGTGCCTTTCACCTTCTGCCATGATTGTGAGGCCTCCCCAGCCACATGGAACTGGGAGTCCATTAAATCTCTTTTTCTTTGTAAATTACCCAATCTCTGGTATATATTTATCAGCACCATGAAAATGGACTGATACAGGTGTTAATATGATTATTTCATGGTTAGTTGAGCTACAAGAGTAAGGTTTTATACCTCATCATTGTCAACCCAATTTCTGCTTTTCTTGTCCTTTATTTAAGACAATAAATTCCTGTTTTTGCACTTTATTTTTTGCCATTGCTGCACGAGCTTAAAATTTCTGTATTGGAAATATCATAGAGGCCATTCCAATTCCAAACTCTTCTTTAAACTTATGTGGAGATGAAGGCCTGGGTCACAGTCTCATGACTAAGCCACATGATTCTTGGTAGGTTACATGAGGATTTGGTCTCCTGATAAAATGGGCAGTTCAGAGTCTTTTCCACCTTAGTAAAAGCAGAAAGTCCTTAGGCATACTCTTCTAAGTAATAGGCACAGAGTCCCACACAAAAAAGCTTGGTCTGATTCATTAAATGCAATTAGTTTGACATAGTGAAAAGAGCTTGGGATTTGAATCAGACTTGGGTTCAGAATCTGATTTTGCCACTGATGAGAAAGATTTAGAAAAGTATACCCAGTCTTTCTGAATAAGTTTCCTCTATAAAATATGTCTACTGATATCCATGTTATAGGTTTGCTTTAAGAAATTAAATGTAATAATTTATGTAAAAGTTTGGAACATGTTTAACAAACAGAAGCTATTTCTTAAAAACAATATTCTACTTAACTATTTAAATGACCTCTTTTTATCTGCATAGTCAGATTTTATTTTAGTTCCTGTTTATCAAATGAACCAAACCACATGATGGGTTTATTCGCTTTCCTTTCTTTCTAGGGAGGTTGGAATTCAGTTGTGCTGTCAGCAATATTACAGAGGACTCCACCCATTTATTTCTGGGAAATGTTCCTCTTTATTTTTGAGAGTTAAGCACTTTGGGTGTTATGTGCCTATTACACTCATTACCGCTCAGCTTGGTGTTGAACGTCATTTTTGGATATTTTTTCAGCATTTATTGTCTTCTCTGGATGAATATTTGTGTATACTCAAGTAACAAATATCCATAGCTACTTCAAGGGGCAAAATATGAAATCCAAGCTGTTATCTTCACCTTTTCACTTCATGGAGACTAAAAGAAATAATCCAGGCATATGACTTAGGAAGTTATTAATGGACCAGTCTTAACCCAGATAGTTATTAACAAACTAAATCCTAGGTTTAACAAATACAACTTATTGTTAACCTTTTACAACTTATCTTTTTGTGCTTTTGTCAGAGATATAATACTGGAAGAGAAGGACCTCTACTTGGATCCAGCACCACTGAAAATTTCTTAAAGTCTTCATGATCCTTTC